TTGATAGGCCAGTCTGCAAACACTGTTTCAAGTCGGTGGCGACCAAGTCCAGCAGTACGACAAACTTGGCGAAACATCTGAAGGACCGACACCCTGGCCTTTACACTGAATTTCGACAGGTTAGTGTGTTTCTTTTCAAACTTACCTATTACTGATGTTATCGTAGCCGGTAGCCCGCATTAATGTTAGCGCATTATTGTTAGCCGCAGCTAGGTACATTGCTAGCTGCGGCTAATAATAACGCGCTAACATGCGGGTCAATAATAGGGTGGCCAGTCCGGATTTTCATTGCACTGTCCAACGTGTATATGTCCTCCTTTACCCACAGATTCCATATACTCCATCAGCGCACCGCTCCGCTAACGTACATCGTGCGGAGTACTTGTCTGTCATGTAAAGCAATCAGTCTCTGTCCACGTACGTCTTTTACGTCCCTCACCATAAAAACATACGGAACTGAGCTCTTTTTTTGCTCCGCTCCGGTCAGTCCAGATTAAAACCAGCAATTGCAATCGCACCTAACAGGAAAAAGAATGTAGAGAAGACCCGGTTTGTCAAATTAAATTATAGTAAAAACAGATCATAGTTCATACAAACTATGTTTGATCCTAGCTATTCCTGTTACAAAAATCCACAACAGAAAGAAAATATTTGGGCAGAAACTGAACATCTGCTGGATGATAATGGGGACTTTTTTTAATGTCATATTAAATTAAACGTTCACAGGGTTTATACAGGAATGAGGAACTCTAATTTAATGCTAATAGAAATAATTTTAATGCCATCAACAAGTATCATGTACACAAGTTATTAGTTTACGTGAAAATAAGGAGCCGTAAGCACGTTTCCATGACTCAAGTTTGTAGATAGATAGATGGATAGATATCTATATAGCTAGATAGATAAATAACACGGTGAAATCATCTTTACTCTCGACAGACTGCAGCCATGTCACAAATTCCTCTTTTCCAGCCACTTTTTGAAATTTGCATCGTCCTATTCTCTAGGTCTTTCTCCGCCTTGAGCTTCTTTTCCAAACAACTGCTTTATGATCAATTGCAGCAGTTCTGCTCAAATTAATCGTGTCAAAAAATTGTCACTTTTTAAACACCACAATGTATTAAATAAATCCAAATGCTGGGAACCAATTCTTTTTTACATCTCTTTAATATTTTGTTCTATTCAGCTACACAAGCATCCTCTTTAAACTACTAAGAATTGTACTATAAATGTGACTTTACCCGATTCTTATGTACACCTTAATAATTTATTAATATGCCACACAATGTCTTCCTTTTTGATGCTATAGAAATGGCCACCCTATTCATTAACGTAAATTGTATGTTAATGATCATAAACAACTTAAATAAATAAATCAGACACGTAGTATGTCCATATTACGTTAATAGACACTGTCAGTATACATAAGCATAGAGTTAATATATTTACATAAATGTTGGTGACTGAAATTTTCATTTTCTCTCTTGAAGTCACAGAATGAAGCAGAGAGAAGTAGACCTGCATCCACGCCATCCAAACACCATCAGACACAGCCGACTCTACCATCTATGTTTGACCAACAACGCCAATATGATGCCAAGTCCCCTGAAGCTATGAAACTAAACAGAGCTGTGGCGGAGTACATAAGTATGGACCAGGTTCCTATTTACACTGTGGAGAAACCTGGGTTCAAACAACTTATTAAGCAGCTAAACCCAAGGTATGCTCTTCCCTCCCGGAATCACTTTATGTACAGTGAAATCCCAGAGCTGTACAACACAACAAAACAAAAAGTCTTGCAGCAGCTTCAGGGGAATCCGTACTTCTCCTGTACCACTGACCTTTGGACCAGCAGGGCTGCATCCTCTTTCATGGCTGTAACCCTGCAATTTATTACAGAGTCCTGGGACATGCAGAGCTGGTGTCTGGGATGTGTTGGGCTACATTCAGAGCATACAGGAGACAGCTTAAGGGAGGCTTTAGAGGAGATAGTACAGGAATCATGGAAGCTGGACACAACTAAAATGGCAGCCATCACTACAGATAATGCTTCAAATAACAAGAAAGCATTTCAGCAGCATTTTACATGGGTCCCATGCTTTGGTCACAACCTGCACTTAGCCATAAACAAGGGTCTGGATATTGATAGTGTGTCAGGAGCATTATCCAGGTTGAGAAAAACAGTGGCAGCTTTCACAAGGTCACCAAAGATGACCCGGCAGCTAAAGAAAAAACAAAAAGACTTGAAGCTGCCAGAACACAGACTCATCCATGATGAGCCAACACGCTGGGACTCAACTTTTGAAATGGTGGATAGGTTTACTGAACAGCAGCAAGCAGTCAGTGCAGTTTTAGCAGAGGACAGAAAGAAGTGGTATCTTATGCCAAAAGATTCAGACATCACCATTCTTGAGACTGTAAAAGAGGTGCTGAGCCCATTGAGCTCTTTTACTGATGCTCTTAGTGGGGAGAAGCATACCACTCTATCCTCTGTCCTACCCTTAACCTGGAAGATATATTCCACATTAACAATTGAGGACACAAGCAGACACTTAGAACGTCAGCTGAAGCAAAAAATTGGAGATGACCTGAAACACAGATATGAGGACAGGAATCTACAGCTGGTATTGAACACAGCCACCTTTCTTGATCCTCGCTTCAAGGACAGTTTTACTACATTAAAAGAGGAATTAAAACAGCATCTTATTGTGGATAATATGCAAGGTCTGCACACTCGGAGAGTCCCAAGTTTGGAAACTTCTCCTCCATCTGCAACCCAGCCTACGAAGAAATCCAAAACAGATCTAAAGGGACTTTTATCAAACATTCAGGGGGAGAGAAAGAAACAACATGGAGATGATACACCAACAGCATCCACAGATGAGGATCCAGAATCCAGGCTCAGGAATGAGTTGACATTATATGAAACCATGCCTGAGCAGAGTGCAGAGGAGGACCCCCTAAATTGGTGGAAAACACAT